TTGTACACACACAACATAGTACACATTGTACACACACAACATAGCACACATTGTACACACACAACATAGTACACATTGTACATACACAACATAGTACATATTGTATACACACAACATAGTACACATTGTACACACACAACATAGTACACATTATGCACACACAACATAGTACACATTGTACACACACAACATAGTACACATTGTACACACACAACATAGTACACATTGTACACACACAACATAGCACACATTGTACACACACAACATAGTACATATTGTATACACACAACATAGCACACATTGTACATACACAATATAGTACACATTGTACACACCCATACAGCAATTCACACGTTGATGCATAAACACAGGACAGTACGCAAACACTAAACAGAGAACGTGAGTACACAGTACACACTAAAAGCACACACAGCACACACCAAAACCACACACTAAAACCACACACAGTACACACTAAAACCACACACAGTACACACTAAAACCACACACAGTACACACTAAAACCACACACAGTACACACTAAAACCACACACTAAAACCACACATAGTACACACTAAAACCACACACTAAAACCACACACAGTACACACTAAAACCACACACAGTACACACTAAAACCACACATAGTACACACTAAAACCACACACAGTACACACTAAAACCACACACAGTACACACTAAAACCACACACAGTACACACTAAAACCACACACTAAAACCATTGTTTAGTTTTAGTTTCACTTATTTGGTATAGCCCTGTGAGCCATTCGGCTCTTGAATTGGGTGCAACCGCAACAAACAAAAACATAGAAAACATCTTAAAGTGATTATGTGACTGTGCAAACAGAAAATCCAGGAAAAAATCATCAAAATATTTCTGAAATAGCACCGTACACCAACGCTGTGTGCAAAAATCCCAGCGGGATGCAAGTCAACAACAACCACAAGATAACTAAGATTAAGGCCATCAGTCTAACTCCGTACTACAATAAACAAAAACATGGCCAAACCAAAAAACGTTTTCGAAATCACCAAAATAAAGCCATAAATGCAATGTAACAGCGATCATAGGGACTGTGACCGAATTTTTAACAATAAACTAAATAAATAACATGTAACACCAAACCCTAGAGCCACAGCTGGCTGCATGAGTTACTCCACAACAACAAGAGCACCTTTAAGATCAGCACACTAAATGAAAATACAGATAATACTTTGCAGCGGTCATCTGGAGCGAAACATTTTATTTTATTTTAGGCCACTGAATAGCAGTGGCAGCTAGGGGTGTACAACTCCTCTAGAGCAGTTTTGAGTGAAGATCTCATAGGTAGTGATTCAAGTTGCAGTTTATTGGCAATAGCATTCCAGACCCTGAGGGCATCAATAGCAAAGGCCCTTCCTCCGGTTTTTGTACGGCAATAGGGAATGTGAAGCTGGTAAATGAACGAAGACCTGAGGTCAAATTTGTTCTTTGAAACAGAGAGGAGATCCAGTAGGTAGTCTGCGGATTTTTTTGTAAGTACATCGTGAATAAATAAGATCTGGTGCACAAGCCGTCGAACATTAAGAGATGTTAAGTTTGACCCAATGTAGAGATCACAGTGGTGAGTCCTATATGGGCAGTTCAATGCAAATCTCACGGCCGAGTGATAGATGGAATCAAGCTTCTTCAGTACAGTACTTGGGGGGCTGATTTATACACGATGTCACAGTAGTCAAGTAGAGGCAGTATGGTAGCTTTTATCAATTCCAAACGGAACATTGGGGGGAAGCAGTGCTTGTGTCAATAGAGAAAACCAATTTTTATTTTTGTCTTTTTACCAATATAATCAATGTGATCTTCAAAATTCAGTTGTGAATCCAGGATGACCCCAAGATATTTATAGATCTTGACTTGCTCTATTTGATAATTATTTAAGGAATGTAATTGGGGAAAAAATACTTCCTGCTTTAGTCCCGGAGAGAAGCATAGCACCTTGGTTTTGGAGGTATTCAGGACTAGTTTAAGAGCAACTAGCTGATGTTGTAGTTTGTTGAAATCACCCTGGAGCTTAGCAATCACGTCATCCGGAGAGCGGCCAGCAGTAATCAGTATCGTGTCATCTGCAAAAAGATTTACCCTGGAATGAGCCAAGTCAGTGCCCAAGTCATTGACATGAAGAGAGAAGAGGGGGCCGAGGATGGAACCCTGTGGAACCCCTTTTGTTATCTTAACACTGTTTGACCTCCAACCATCTGTGAATACAGTTTGGGTGCAAGAAAAAAGGTATTTTTTTACCATTTTACTGTGTTTTCGGAAAAACCGAGGCAACTTAGTTTACTAAGCAGGGTGTTGTGGTCTACTGTATCAAAAGCTTTGGACAGGTCAAGAAAAAGACAGGCACAGTACTGCTTATTATCAAGGCTACTGTAAATTTGATTCAGAGAGTCTCATGCAGCAGATGTAGTGCTGTATTTTTTTCGGAACCCATATTGTTTTAGATGTAGTAGATTGTTGGTGGACAGGAAACTATTAATTTGGTAGTTCAATGATTTTTCAAAAAAAATCATCAATGGGGACAAAATTGAGATAGGTCAGTAGTTATTGGGATCATCTTTAGGGCCCCCTTTGTGAAGTGGACGGACATAGGAATGTTTCCATTCTAGAGGATAGGTTGAAAATATGGGCTATAGGTTTGTATATTAGGTGACCAACAGTTAGTAGAGCAAAGACGGGAAAACTATCTGCTCCGGTAGAGGAGGACCCCTTGAGGTAGGACAGTTGTTTCAGAACATTACTTTCGTGGATTGGCTGGAAACTAAATTCGTTTAATGTTTGGACAGGGGTGTAGGAATTTGCATGAGCAGGGGTGACTCCCAATACATTATCAAAAAGATTACCAGCTTCAGAAAAATGAAGGTTAAAATTGTCAACTATTTTTTTGGGATCTGAAAAATATTCCCCATTTCGGTTAAGCTCAACGGGCAGATTGTCTGTTTTGGATGCCTTTTCGATACATTTGATTGTTTTCCAAAAAATACTGGCATTTCCGTGTGAGTCCAGGAGTGGAGGGAAAGTAGGCATTTTTTGCATTCCGTATTTTTTTGACGCATCTATTCCTTAAAATCCTGTATTCTAGCCAGTCATTTACCAAATTACTTTTCTGAGCACATGCCCAAGCATTGTCCCTAGTTTTCATAAGCTTTGTAATCAAAGGATCATACCATGGTGGGCGGTTGCCTTTGGTTTTAAATCTAACCAACGGAGCATGTTTGTTAAGAATTTGGAGAAACGTGTACCTGAAAGTCTCCCAAGCCGTAGTCAGGTTGGGGATATCACAGACCTTGTCAATATCCGAGTGAAGCACATCATTAGTAACCACACACAGTACACGCTAAAACCACACACAGTACACACACACATTGAATGAGACGAAAAACAAAGATCCCCCGTGTAGCCTTAACAGACTGTTGGGGCAAGTGCTGTTAGCGTGCACCTATGAAGGCCGCCTTTGTCTCCCCGGTGGCGATGTGCGCATACCGCACCAGGTACTCATTTGAGGTCGAGTTGCTACACTACTGCTCCCCACACAGGCAAAATATTACAATAACACACACTCACTCACACACACTCACAAAGATCCCCCAGTAAAGTCTTAACGGATTATTGGAGAAAGTGAATTTAGCGAAGACCGTGCCACGTAATACACACACAAAACCACACACACAGACACACACACAAAACCACACACTCAGAACCACACACTCAGAACCACACACACAGACACACACTCAGAACCACACACTCAGAACCACACACTCAGAACCACACACTCAGAACCACACACACAGAACCACACACACAGAACCACACACTCAGAACCACACACACAGACACACACAGACACACACAGAACCACACACACAGAACCACACACTCAGAACCACACACACAGACACACACAGAACCACACACACAGATAACGACAACAACACGGGGGAACAACACACAGACAACAACACACAGACAACAACACACAGACAACATGGGGGAACAACACACAGACACCAACACACAGACAACAACACACAGACAACAACACACAGACACCAACACAGACAACAACAGACAACACACAGACAACAACACACGGACAACAACACACAGACAACATGGGGGAACAACACACAGACAACAACACACAGACACAACACACAGACAACAACACAAAGACAACAACATGGGGGAACAACACACAGGCAACAACACACAGACACTAACACGGGGGAACAACACACAGACAACAACAAACAGACAACAACAAACAGACAACAACACACGGACAACAACACACAGACAACACGGGGAGAACAACACACAGACAACAACACACAGACAACAACACACAGACACCAACACAGACACCAACACAGACAACAACACGGGGAGAACAACACACAGACACCAACACACAGACACAACACACAGACAACACACAGACAACAACACACAGACACCAACACAGGGAGAACAACACACAGACAACAACACACAGACACCAACACAGACGACAACACACAGACACAACACACAGACACCAACACACAGACGAAACACACAGACACCAACACGGGGAGAACAACACACAGACACAACACACAGACAACAACACACAGACAACACACAGACAACACACAGACAACAACACACAGACACCAACACGGGGAGAACAACACACAGACAACAACACACAGACAACAACACACAGACACCAACACACAGACACCAACACGGGGAGAACAGTCCAGGCAAGTGAAACGCGTAGGGGCTGTCCGCGTGTCGCTAGAAACTCATCTGGAGAGAGGAGGCATTCCACGATTGCGGCTACAACTCGTAGCAGGGCTGTACACCACACTCACATTCACAACAACAACAGCAGCAGCAGCACAATCATAGAGAGCAGAAGCAGCGGCAGTTGTTAGTCCGTGTGCTTACATACCAGGAGAAGCCGAGGGACACCGCTGGCCGGGTCGGGGATGATGGTGATGGGGGTCGCTGCTGTTGTTGAAGGTGGCTGGTGGCGGGGGATGGGGGCGAGAGAGAAAGAGTGGGAGGGCGAGTTTGGTTGGGTGTTGTAGTGTGTGTGTGTGGTGGGTGTTGTAGTGTGTGTGGTGGGTGTTGTAGTGTGTGTGATGGGTGTTGTAGTGTGTGTGTGGTGGGTGTTGTAGTGTGTGTGATGGGTGTTGTAGTGTGTGTGTGATGGGTGTTGTAGTGTGTGTGGTGGGTGTTGTAGTGTGTGTGGTGGGTGTTGTAGTAGTGTGTGTGATGGGTGTTGTAGTGTGTGTGATGGTTGTTGTAGTAGTGTGTGTGGTGGGTGTTGTAGTGTGGGTGTGATGGGTGTTGTAGTGTGTGTGTGGGTGTTGTAGTGTGTGTGTGTGGGTGTTGTAGTGTGTGTGATGGGTGTTGTAGTGTGTGTGTTATGGGTGTTGTAGTGTGTGTGGTGGGTGTTGTAGTGTGTGATGGGTGTTGTAGTGTGTGTATGTGTGATGGGTGTTGTAGTGTGTGTGTGTGATGGGCGTTATCGTGTGTGTATGTGGTGGGTGTTGTTGTAGTGTGTGTGGGTGTCGGTTGTGTGTGTGGTGGGTGCTGTTGTAGTGTGTGTGTGGTGGGTGTTGTTGTAGTGTGTGTGGTGGATGTTGTTGTAGTGTGTGTGTGGTGGGTGTTGTAGTGTGTGGTGGGTGTTGTAGTGTGTGTGTGGTGGGTGTTGTTGTAGTGTGTGTGGTGGGTGTTGTTGTAGTGTGTGTGGTGGGTGTTGTTGTAGCGTGTGTGTGTGTGGTGGGTGTCGGTTGTGTGTGTGTGTAGGGGCTGTATGTTGGTGGAGTTGTACGTGTGGGTGCATGAGGGTGGTCAGGGGCTGGGTGTGTGGGTGTTGGTAATGTGTGTGGGTGTTGGTATGTGTGTGTGTGGGTGTAGGGGTGAGTGGTTGAGTATGAGTCTGGGTGCATGAGCTGGTAGGGGGTTGTGTGTGTGTATGTGGGAGGGTGTGGTAGGTGCTAGCTAACCCCACTTGCCCCAAACAATCTTTAACGAGGCTATATGGGGGGGACTTTGTGTCTTTTTTTAGGCATTGTGTGTGCAGCTGGGTAGGGGGCGTGGGTCTAAGCATGTGGGAATCTGTGGGGGATGTTCGAGTGAGCATGTGAAGACGGGCAGGTGTGAGTATGCGCATCTTTAACTCGGCCAACAGCAGTGACGATTATCTGAACCGGTCGTGGGCCTGCCCTAGATCGACTCGGCCTCAAATGAGTACCTGGTCCACTGTGCATACATCGCCACGAGGGATACAAAGGCGGCCGGGCGAGGTGCTGGCCACCCACGTTCCGGCCTTCATGGGTTGCTTGCTAACAGCACACGCTTAGACGGTGGGGGGGGGGGGGGTGATCCTTGTCTCTGTAAGAGAGTGGATGGTGATGGGACGCTGGCTGTCTTCGTGTTTGATGGATTTAGGGGCCGTCCATAAGTGACGTCACGCACATGGGGGGGGGGGCGGGGTCAGACATTTGTGACGAGGGGGGGGGTTTGAGAAATGTGACGTCACATTAAAATTCAAAATGCGCAACTTTAAATAAATATAGACAACACGTTCTACTTAATTAAATAGACTTTTTGAATAAATGTTTTCTCCTACAACATCAGAGTGCAGCGCCACATTAAATACGCACTACAATGACAATAGTTTAAAGCGATTTGAAGCATGTTTTTTTTTTGGGGGGGGGGCAGAGCTTTGTGACGTCATATTTGAGGGGGGGGGGGTCTGACTTCGTGTGACGCCGTGTGACGAAGGAGGGGGGGGTCAAAAATCGGTCACAGTCGCGTGACGTCATTTATGGACGGCCCCTTAGGACAGGACTCGGCAACCTTTCACCGAAGAAGAAGCAGCAGCAGAGCTATTTGTTTTTTTTCTCTTTGGTCAAAACAGATTGATATCCGCATCGCACGTGTTCTACACAAACACAGCAGCAGGCAGATGGCACAGTCGGACTTAAACAAAATATCGATTTAAAGCTTTCGTGACTGCAAGGATTCATCCTCTTGGCTCTTTCGGTAAAGTCACGCAGATGCCTCTGTTGATATGTAAACTCTGACTTTAACATAGCTACTTCCGTGACCAGTCACATGCTAATTACTCACACTAACATCATGCTAATCTCCCAGTTACATGCTAATTTCTGACTTTAACAATAACACAGCTACTTCAATGCTAAATTCTCCTGTTGATATGTAAACTCCTTTGTCAAGGTGCTCTGCTCTTCCCACCCAGCTTAAAAGACGCTGCCAAGCTTAGCAGTGTTCATTGGAGCGCTGTCGTCCCGACAGTTCTATTCCTTCACCTGAGGAAGGCTACTTGTGTTGTGGCCGAAACGTCGTGAGAATTTTATTTTATTTTTATTATTGTATTATTTCCCTTCTACGTGACTTTACCGAAAGAACCAAGAAGATTAAACAAAATAGGTGATGGAATAATCTGCCTCTATTTCTTACCCCACCCCCTTGTTATTCTTTAACAATACAGTTTTATTGCTGTACATGGTGTCACCAAGACATTCCATATTGACCAAAAATGCCTGTCATATTTGATGCATTGCTTATCCTTTGCATTAAATTGTGTTTCAAGATTTAAAATTAGTTTTTGTTAAAAATAAAATAAAACGGTTGCCCGCAAGAGGGCACCCAAAGAGGTCGCGCTCAGCAGCCCCCTGGTTGCAAACCCATGATTTAATGACTTTGGGTGACTGGTTGAGTGGACGCGGTGAGTGGAGGGATGCCTTGCTGTGTGAGTAAGTGTCTGGGTTAATACATTTGTTTCTGGGTCGGATCAATATGCCATCGTGCTGTCACCTGTAGGTTAGAGGTGGTGTTTTGTGGGTCTGGCTTGTCGTAAGTGTCGGTGGATAGGTGTGGGCCAGTGCGTGTATGACTGAAAATGTGCCTGAGATATTAAGTTAGGGTGGCTTGGTGGGTGGGTGGCTGGGTGTGGATATGCCTTGGTGTATGAGTGGGTGGGTGGGTGGCTGGGTGTGTGGGTGGCTGGGTGGCTTGGTGAGTGGCTGGGTGTGGATATGCTTTGGTGTATGAGTGGGTGGCTGGGTGGGTGGGTGGCTGGGTGAGTGGCTGGGTGTGGATATGCTTTGGTGAATGAGTGGGTGGCTGGGTGGGTGGGTGCCTGGGTGTATGAGTGGGTGGCTGGGTGGGTGGGTGGCTGGGTGTGGATATGCCTTGGTGTATGACTGGGTGGTTGGGTGGGTGGGTGCCTGGGTGTATGAGTGGGTGGCTGGGTGGGTGGGTGGCTGGGTGTGGATATGCCTTGGTGTATGAGTGGGTGGCTGGGTAGGTGGGTGGGTGGCTGGGAGTGGATATGCCTTGGTGTATGAGTGGGTGGCTGGCTGGGTGGGTGCCTGGGTGTATGAGTGGGTGGCTGGGTGGGTGGTTGGCTGGGTGTGGATATGCCTTGGTGTATGACTGGGTGGTTGGGTGGGTGGGTGCCTGGGTGTATGAGTGGGTGGCTGGGTGGCTGGGTGGGTGGGTGGCTGGGTGTGGATATGCCTTGGTGTATGAGTGGGTGGCTGGGTAGGTGGGTGGGTGGCTGGGTGTATGAGTGGGTGGCTGGGTGGGTGGGTGGCTGGGTGTGGATATGCCTTGGTGTATGAGTGGGTGGGTGGGTGGCTGGGTGTGTGGGTGGCTGGGTGGCTTGGTGAGTGGCTGGGTGTGGATATGCTTTGGTGTATGAGTGGGTGGCTGGGTGGGTGGGTGGCTGGGTGAGTGGCTGGGTGTGGATATGCTTTGGTGAATGAGTGGGTGGCTGGGTGGGTGCCTGGGTGTATGAGTGGGTGGCTGGGTGTGGATATGCCTTGGTGTATGACTGGGTGGTTGGGTGGGTGGGTGCCTGGGTGTATGAGTGGGTGGCTGGGTGGGTGGGTGGCTGGGTGTGGATATGCCTTGGTGTATGAGTGGGTGGCTGGGTAGGTGGGTGGGTGGCTGGGTGTGGATATGCCTTGGTGTATGAGTGGGTGGCTGGCTGGGTGGGTGCCTGGGTGTATGAGTGGGTGGCTGGGTGGGTGGTTGGCTGGGTGTGGATATGCCTTGGTGTATGACTGGGTGGTTGGGTGGGTGGGTGCCTGGGTGTATGAGTGGGTGGCTGGGTGGGTGGGTGGCTGGGTGTGGATATGCCTTGGTGTATGAGTGGGTGGCTGGGTAGGTGGGTGGGTGGCTGGGTGTGGATATGCCTTGGTGTATGAGTGGGTGGCTGGGTGGGTGGGTGCCTGGGTGTATGAGTGGGTGGCTGGGTGGGTGGGTGGCTGGGTGTGGATATGCCTTGGTGTATGAGTGGGTGGCTGGGTAGGTGGCTGGGTGTGGATATGCCTTGGTGTATGAGTGGGTGGCTGGGTGGGTGGGTGCCTGGGTGTATGAGTGGGTGGCTGGGTGGGTGGGTGGCTGGGTGTGGATATGCCTTGGTGTATGAGTGGGTGGCTGGGTAGGTGGGTGGGTGGCTGGGTGTGGATATGCCTTGGTGTACGAGTGGGTGGGTGGCTGAGTGTGGATAAGCCTTTGCCTTGGTCTTGCCGTGGTCTTGTGGGGAGCGGTGACGTTTTGGTTGGCACATGCTACGGACATGGGCACCCTTAGTTTGATCCCACTTGCCACATCAATGGCAAGTGGGATCTGAATTGTTCCACTGCCTCCACAAGGTTGACTCAGCCTTAAACCAGCACTGGGGAGAGATTTTTTTTTAAGTCAGGCATTGGGCTAACCACACCACCTCCAGGTTCATTGTTCCAGCCTCTCAGTAAGTGTTCATAAACGGCACTTTCCACAATAGTCTATAAGACGAAACAGGAGTACCGCATCTGGCTTGGTATATGAGTAGGTTGCTGGGATTATATTTGTGAATGGGTGGGTGTGGATGTTGGTATCCCTATATATGTGTGAGTGGTTGTGGGTATGTATATATGAATGAATGGGTGTTGGTGGTTGTGGGCATGTCTGTATGTATGTGTGAATTTATGGATCATTGTGGGTATGTCTTTGTGAATTAATGAATGAATGTGGTGTGGAATGATTGTGTAATGTCTTTGTGATTGAATGGATGTGGTGTGTGGGTGGTTCTGGGTATGTATTTGTGAATGAATGTGGTGTGGAATGATTGTGGGTATGTCTTTGTGAATGAATGAATGTGGTGTGGAATGATTGTGAATGTGTCTTTGTGAATGAATGGATGTGGTTTGTGGGTGGTTGTGGATATGTCTTTGTGAATGAATGTGGTGTGGAATGATTGTGACTTTGTGAATGAATGGATTTGGTGTGGTGTGGGCGGTTGTGGGTACATCTTTGTGAATGCATGTGGTGTGGAATGATTGTGAATGTGTCTTTGTGAATGAATGGACGTGGTGTGTGGGTGGTTGTGGGTATGTCTTTGTGAATGAATGAATGGACGAGGTTGTGGGTACGTCTCGGTGCGTGACCGGGTGGCTCATGGTTGCGTGTGTAAATCTACCTGGGATGTACGCGTGGCTCGGCTGGGCAGAGAGAGAGAGAGAGGCAGATGGAGATAGCGGTTCGCGTGGCTAGCGGTGGATTACACTGAACGGGACGTGGAATTGTTGGTTGCAGTGTGAGAAAATCGAGTGACCTTTCTGTCTAAAATCGATCACGAAATAGATGCACCCCCGCTAAAGCCGGCCTGGGTAAAGCGGTCGATCCTCCCGCAGAGGAACTGTGGGAACGCACAGTCAGCATGGCTCATCCGATCATACTGTACACGCTACACACGCAGCATACTCCACGAGGCGTGTACACCAACAACATCATACACTAGCCGAGAGCCCGTCCAAGGACGGGTGTATTGCAGTTCATCTGAAACATTCAAGCGAAAATAATGACCCGCTCATGATTATTCATGAGGGGGGTGGGGGCGGGGTCCATATGAGTGACGTCATCAGCTAATGATTATTGATTAGGGGAGGGAGCTCCATATTGAGTGACGTTACCCGCTCATGATTATGAATGGAGCGTCACGTGGAGTGACGTCGCCCGCTCATGATTATGAATGAGGGAGGTGCTCCATATGGAGTGGCGTCACCCGCTCATGATTATGAATGGGGGCCTCACGTGGAGTGACGTCATCCGCTCATGATTATGAATGAGGGAGGTGCTCCATATGGAGTGACGTCACCCGCTCATGATTATGAATGGGGCCTCACGTGGAGTGACGCCATCCGCTCATGATTATGAATGAGGGAGGTGCTCCATATGGAGTGACGTCGCCCGCTCATGATTATGAATGGCGGCCTCACGTGGAGTGACGTCACACGCGGGACACATATTCTTGGCTCATTATATTAGTAACTAGCTTTTTTGGCCGTCCAGGACGGGTGTATATTGCAGTAAATCTGAAATATTCAATAGAAAAATTGTTCAGCTCATGATTATTAATGAGGGGGGTTGCCCCATGTGGAGTGACGTCACCCGCTAATGGTTATTGTGGAGGGGTGCGGCATGGGGAGTGACGTCACCTGCTAATGGTTATTGGGGAGGGGTGCGGCATGTGAAGTGACGTCACCCGCTAATGGTTATTGGGGAGGGGTGCGGCATGGGGAGTGACGTCACCCGCTAATGGTTATTGGGGAGGGGTGCGGCATGAGGAGTGCGCGACCTTCTTGTGCGTCAGTGTAAATTTCCACGCGGGCATGAATATTAATGATTGGGGGGGGGGGCTCTTTTTCAGTGACGTCACGCACGGATGTAGCACTGTGCTGCGTTTATTTATTTTTTTACCGTCACTTTCTGTAAAGAAACGTCGTCATATTTGAAGCGACTTTGCGTAATAACTTATTTAATCCTGCTCGTTCGTGTAAAAATCCACCCGCTCGTGAATATTAATGAGGGCGGTGGGCCTCATGTGGAGTGACGTCACGCGAGGGACGGACAGACATTCTTGGCTCATCATAGTAGTAACCCTCCCCTCTATGCTGCTGCTATGTTGCTGCTGCTGCGTCTCCCTCCACACACACACGTGTGTGTGTGTGGAGGGAGACGTGTGTGTGTGTGAGCGCCCCCACGTGTGTATATAAAACGCTGCTTGTACGGTGGTGGCCGGCCTTGAGAGATTTCACATCGATCTGGCCAGCAACCTCTTTGGCGTGGCAGCGCCTTCATCCAGCAGAGTTCGGCTGTTTGTCCCGAGTGCTACCCCCCCACCCCCCAACAATCCCAAAAAAAAGCAGCATTGTGCTGAAAAATAGTCTTCAGAATCAATTCGTTTTTTGTTGTTGTTAAGTAAATGAAAGCACGTTGCAGTGATGGTAAACCCTTTGTGGCCAATTATTGTTGCCTCGGCCATAGATTACCGTAATCAGCAGCAGCCGTTATCATTCCTTTGCTGCATGTAGGGCTCCCTAAGCTATCGTGATCTCTCACAACAGTGTTGCGGTGCGACCATCCATCGAGCGCCGATTTCGTTGCTCCATTTTCCTCCGGGGCATGCTTCCTGCTTGGGCTGAGGTTATAACATCGGTGTGAGGTTGGGTAGTAGTGGAAGTTCAACCGTGGTTTTGCACTGCAAGGATTCATTCCTGCCAAGGAAGTGGTATTTTTTTTTACCATTTGGCACCAACAGAGATGAACACTGTTGGCTAGCTAATGTTTCTGAGCATGGAATTCCTGTTTTTTTTTCAAATCTACAGTATTTTTTTTACCAGATTATATACCTTATTATACTGGGTTTTTTTTTCAGGGCCAGTGGTCTTAAGAAGAAGATTAGCTTGAAATGTAAAACATTTATTTTACGCTAAATCTTTCCACATCGAGCGAATTAGCTTAATTTAGATTGGCTTCAGGGCGAACAGCATTCCAAAAGTGTCATACACTGCTCCCAGGAATATTATACCTGAACATATAAAATATCCTCCAGTATAAATAAAGACACGGATCCTGACATCTGCCCCTTTTGCCATTGTGCCTGTGTGTATGCCATGCGGGTGCCAGGATGGTGCATGCAGTTCTTGTCTGGGGGCACTCGATTCAAGCTCCGACTTGGAGGCCCTTCCAGCCAGCCAATCAGTCCAACGGGCACACCAGCCCTGCCTGCCGCTATTAAAAAAAAAATTACAAAACCTCGACACGCAAACGCCATCGTGGTCAATGCCAACGGGTTGGGTGTGGGGTCGCGGTTTGGGGGTTCACTGGAAGTTGAAACAAATAAATCAAGAATCATGGCATCGGTGTGTAACGGAGCAGTACAATTTCGTTCACGTATTGCAAATTGCCACATTTGCAAAAAACCGAACCCGATTACAGATGCGCGTCTGCTCACGAGCTGCGAAACAGCCACGGGAAGCGAGCCTCTAAACAGGGTTCCATCTATTTGAGCCCCCATGAGCCCATCTGTTTTTTTGTAGAACATCTCCACCTCTTGTACGTCTCTCTCAGCAGGCATGGTTTTGCGCACTTGAAGCCAACTTGGTGATTAACAGCAGGGAGGTTTTTTTTTTAAACAGTTTTAAGAGGCACAGCCAAGGTTGTCCTTGTTTGGGTCGCAGCACTGCTAAAGTCTGTGTAAAATATTATTCCCCATGCTCATTGCGCCTGCTTTGCATTTTAATTAAACTGCCGTGAGTTGCTATGAAGCTGCACCCAGTGTTTGATATTTCACATTGAGACAGGATCATACCCTGGGTTTCTTGTAAGAAAAATTGGGAAAATGTCCGCTTATTTGAATCCGGATTTTTTTTCTTCCCACAAACCACAAAAACAGGTGGCGTCGGCAGTGTGGGCAGTAGAGGGCTTTCGAACTAAATCCATCGTTCTGCATTCCACCTTGGTCAAAGTGTAGTCAAAGAAGCCTCACTTTGCATTGACAAAGGGGCTGTAAATGTGCACGAGAAAACGGTATTTACAAAGGGCAATATATTCCCACCTTTGCCATTCAAGTATGCATATACAAACTGAGAAAGCATATCTTGATTTGAAGCTTTCGTGACTGTAGCAATCCATACTCTTTGATTATTTCGGTAAAGTCACATCGGTAGAAAAATGAAATTAAAAATTAAAATATGATAAGCCATAGCCAATTGGAAAGAAATCGACTTTTGTTTTACAATGTAACAAAACGAATGTACTCTTTTAATAATCATTAACATACGGTATGTAATAAATCATTAACATACGGTATGTTAATGAAGGACGTGTATGCTATATGTGTTCTCTTATGTTATGTTATTGATTAATGAGGTTCGGTGACATTACCGTAATTTAATTGTGCACGTTGCCTCTCTAATTTCGAAACAACCTGCACTTTATATTCTTGGTTCTTTCTGGCGTTGCAGTCGAAACGTCGTGAGAATTGTATTGTTTATATTTTTTTATATTTTTATTATTTTATTGTTTCCCTTCTACGTGACTTTACCGAAAGAACCAAGAATATGAATCCCTACAGTCACGAGAACTTTAAATCAAAGCCTGCACTTTGCCTTTTCTTTCACAACTGATAATCAAACCTTCCCAAGTCCAGATTAGCATGGTTAACCTTTAGCGTAAACGCTCCAAATGACACTGTTGAAGTCAGATCCAATGATTGCAAGCACTAAATCCAAATTCCCCAGCTCCATGGAATAGAAGGAACAAAGAGGTAATGATTTAAAAAATGCAACTACTGTATTGTATTGTAAACTCATCCTGTCTATCTCCATATATAAAAGGCAAAATTGTGAATGTGTGTCTGTTCTAAATGTTTAGCGTATTTCCCGACATGCAACAAACTTGAAATTTGCCATGTGGATACTTTCCAGACTACACCATGCAAAAATGATTTTTTTTTAAATACACTTTTGGGGTTTTTTTTGGGGGAGGCAGCTCAATAAAGAATATTTTTTTTGCACAAGTGAGCTGTGACGTCAAATCTGTCACGTGACCCGCGCACGTGGAAGCGTAACGCATTGTAATGTAGTGGTTAGCGCGCCGCGCTACGAACCCGGCGACCCGAGTTCGATTCCCGCTCACGGCCACCACCGGTGACGATTACCGTATTTCAACCGCTCCTGGGCCTCCCTTAGATCGACTCAGCCTCAAACGAGCAACTGCTGTGGTGTGTGAACATCGCCACTGGGGAGACAAGGGCGGGCGTAATCGTTTACGTCCTCGTGGAGAGTACAGGTAGTCCCCGACTTACGATGGGGTCGTCGTAACGGATCTCCATCGTAAGTCGGGGACTACCTGTATAAGTAACAAAAATGAACAAACAATAGGACAACTTCACATATCTCCCTCCACAATAAAAAATACTGGATCCTTAACATATATATTTGATGCATCTCAACAGTCACACGGCCTCCTGGGAGTGTGTTTTTTTCAGCAGATCACCAGCATTGACGAAAGTAAGCCTGACTGCTGATGAGACACTGCATGTTGAAACCGGCCCAGAGCTTGCTTTCGTTAAAGGAATGCTGCTGGAAAAAAGACACTCGCAGAAGGACACTCAGTGGCTGATTGGGTGAGTAAAAAAAAATACCTTTAACGTTTTTGTGGAAGGGACAGATGTGAGAAGGTTTATTGTCTGCTTCTTTGTTTTTGTCAATCGAAAGCTTACAGATGGACAAGCCCACGTGCGATTTTCGCGCGAGCACAAAACCGCAAATGAAAACCGTACAGAACAGTCCAGAGCTGTTCTCCATTTTTTATCGTGATTTGAGCGTTGGTTTAGTAGTCCCCGTCAGCCCAAGATACCACATCACGACAGAACATGTAGCGCAGGCCAGAAAACAAACAGATTTAACAACACACAAGGACCTACAATGCTCTGAGCTTCATCGAGACTCACCATCTCAAAATAACCAAATGTGCGGCAAATTTGATCCGTTGAGATCACAATCTCAAGAGT